CAAAGTTGAAACAGAAGTTTGTACTCATTGGTACGCTGAAGGCACAAGGAAGACAAACTGGCTAGACCCTGAGAATGAAAAGATAAATGAAGTACAATATTGGCCAAAAAAAGAATGTAGTCTAGGGGAAAGAAGCACTAAACCAGTCATTACAGTATCATAAGAGCACTATGACAGGCACCGGCGTAGCGGAACAACACTGGTCTTACGGGAGCACAGAGGGGCGCCAGACACAGCCGGGGACAGGCCAGACTGGTGGCGATGGGGGATAGTAAAGGATTTGAAGGAAGTCATCCTAAAAGGGGTGACTGGCGCACAGAGTTGATGCTTAACTGGCTTATGATCAGTAACGGTTTTAAGTTACCTCTTCAATGGCTTTTTGTCTTTTGTCTTCCACATCTTTATCTATTCTATACAGAGATAAAGAAGAAACATAACCATGCCATTACTTCAGCTGATTGAACATTTAAAATAATAAGCTTTCAAAGAAATAATTTCCTCCCGTTGAAAACTGGCAAATATTAGGCTCATTTTAAGAGAAAAATTGATGTCTTAGCACATTTAGTAAATGACAGCATTTAGGTCTTTGGCACTGTGCTGGTAGGCTTACTTCCCTCTTTTCCGTTCAGTTTGAATGGAACAGTATTTTCTGTTCAGGGGCTTATGTTGATATAATTTTTAAATTACTATTAACAACATAAAGTAATTTGAATAAACTTTGTCCTTTAACCATCATAAATTAAGAAGTATTTCATTCCACAGGAATCTAAAAATTGTCGATTCTCTTTCTTCTGTTATAGCAAGCTTATCATAGCTATAATTTTAGAATCAACTTACTCTGAAATAGAAGAAACTATCATCCTTACAGTTCTGAACAAAGAAGCAAAAATATTAATTATGAAATAAAATGACAATATAGAATTCTGCCCAAATGATTTTTTTTTCACTTTGATACAATATGCAATTACAGCAACACAAATTCATCAGCTACAAGATTTAACACAAAATGTCGGGTCTCGAGCACAAGGCATAGACTTGCCAAGGACTAAGCAGCTAGCCTTGGAGGACCACTTTAATCTGTCCCAAGGGAGAGTATTTGCTTTCTGTTAATAAATTGGTAAAACATTTCTTTTTACAACAATTTAAATGACTGTCTCTCAAAATTTTTCACGTATATTATTTGTGGCTTTAACAAACCTTATATAAAAATGTACATTTCACAAATTAAAATCAAGTGAATTTTTCAAGTAAGGGAACAATGAGAAAATAGACTACAATGATAATCCACATATCTCAGCTTCAACAATAGCCATTCTGGGGACAAATAACTCAGTTCTCTTTATCTTCTCATGCACATAAGCCAGGTCAAAATGACAGTGCATAATAATAACAGCATATTAATAAGCTCTGATTTAATATCACCTCATTCAGAAACATTTTCTGCTTCATCAGAGGGCCTTTAAGAACCTGAAATATTCAGGCAATTGCTAGAAGCAGTGAAAATCAGTTTAGGCAAATATTGTAGAACCTAATCAAGGAAGGTTCTCAGAAGTCATACAGAACAGAGTATCCTGACCATTACATCAAAGAACACCAGCATGATGCATATAGGTTACAGGAATATCCTGAACGGATCCTGAGTAGGGGATCTTTACCTATAAGTATATTCAACCTTTGGAGTTTCCTATCTCTCTTCACTTAAGAACATGTTATTATACTTAAATACAAAAAAGGAAAACTTACCGAGAATGACTTAAGTATAAAGCTTGACGATGAATGTCTTCTGGGTCTATTTCTACAGGATTTATTACAGCTAGTTGATCAATAGACCATCTAAATTTCCCTGGAGTCTTAACAAAAGAAAGTGAACCTATGAGTAAAACCAAACTAAAATAGTTCATCAAAATTCTAACCAATGTCAGCTTCAAAAATAATGTGAATGGTTATAATGCAAAAGTATTTCAAAGCTTGTATTTTAAAATTTGGCTTTACCACTAAATTAAATGGCAAATGGTAATCAAATCACACTAAATCAACTGACTGGACTATATTTTAAAATATCCAAATCTTCCATCTGGGTGATTTTTAAAATTGCATAATAATGGAAAAAAAATCACAGTATTGTAATAAAGGTATAGAAATTCCACAATTAATACTCATCAGTGATGCAACATACCCACATAAAGGTAAAAATCTCTTACTAGAGTTATCAGAGGTCTTTACTTTCACTAAGAATGAACTGAAATGAAATGAAGTCCTAACTACAAAAGTGCCTGCAAAAGCTCATAAAATAGTTGATCCTTAAAATAATTATGAATGGTAATCACTGCTGCTTTTCTGCATTCAACTATCCAACTGAACCAAAAATTTACCCAAATCCTAATCTGTAATTCCGAATGTATTTTTGACAAAATCAGGCTTAAAAATCCAACATCCCACACATTCTGGTTTTGAGGATTAAGTTGCAGCTAATCTATTATTTATTCTAGATTAACAGAGAACTAAAATTTAATACAGTTCAATCAAAAATCATGAGGTCAGATTTACAACTCAATATAAACTGCATAACTGTAAAACTTTACTTGCTCGTAGTTTTAGTGGATATGAAATATAGCATAAACAGCAACATACTTGGCAGTTTTTCTAGGTAATTTACTAGGTTAAAAGATCATACTTCAAAAGAACTCCAGTGTAGCAAATAAAGGTAAAAATAAGCTAAAGCGATAAAGTCTTCCCTAATCTCCAAAACAGCACTTTCCTTTCCATATCACCCTTAATCACCTTAGCCACTAATAGCACATATATTGTTTTGAAGTTGCTAGATTAGTTATGAGTTTTCCTTTAGAGTAGATGTTGGCTTCTTTTTATACAATCTGCAAGCTAAAAATGGTTGGAAAATTTTTAAAATTATTATTTTATGACATGTGAAAATTACATGAAATTCAAATGTCCATAAAGAAAGCTTTATTGAAACACAGCCATGTTTCATTGTTTACATATTGCCTATGGCTGCTTTTGTGATACAAAGCAGAGGTGACTAGTTCTAACAGCAATGAGATGACCTGCAAAGCCTGAAATATTTACTGTCTGGCCCTTGACAGAAAAAGTTTGCTGACTCCTGTATCAGAATACAAGCTCCTTGAGAGTTTGTGTCTAATGACCCTGACTTCTTCTCTATGCCTAGTACTTTATCTAACACAGCAGCATTCAAACAGATTTGCTGAATAAATGAGAATAGATAATTAGATGATACAGTGTCTCCTCGAATACAGTATTAGTAAATATGTCATCAATCATAGTATTTAGCTACACCCAGTTGCAGGAAGCCAACACATTATCCACTGAAAGAAAAAAAAAGAGAAATTTTAACTAAAAAAAAAAAAAAATCTACCTAACTTATTTTTAGCCCAATCACTACACTATAGTGAACATTACAACTAAAAAAGCACATTCCAGGCATATGTGCTCCAGGATAAATTTCTCCCTTCTAAAGAAAGATGTTTACATTTAAAATAATTTGTATATACTAGTCAAGAATAACTTACTGGTAATTTCGCTGATTTAAAAACAGAAGGACTGGAGAGAGTTTGTTCATGGAGATTAGAATAATCACCAGGACTTTCGAAAGGATTCAAAACCGGGATCCTTCCTGGAGTTTCCGGTGTTATTTGCATTCTTGATTCTTTGACATCTCCCATAGCACAGAGAGAAAACTAAAAAAAACAAATAAGTATGAAAAATAAAACCACAAAGTTCCACATTCATTTTGACAACTAAAATATATTCAACAAACATATTTCGCAAAAAGAACTCAAAATCTAACGCTCTTGGGTCTTTTTTTTTTTTTTTTTTTACAGTTTACAAAGAGGCATCACATATATTTTCTAAAGTGATCCTCCAAATAACCTTTAAAGCTAGAGAGATACGGTATTAGTGATAATCATTTTGCAGAAGATTTCGGCTCAGAGAAGTTAAGTGGCACATAAGTAGCAGTCAATCACATATGAATGAGTTCAGGTTCGCTTTCGGGCAACTAAACGTTATAGCAGACACAAAACTCTTTTCAACTAAAAGACTTCTAACCTATAGTTTCTTTATTCATTATTTCAAGTCTCTAAAGACTCTGAACATCCTTCGGATATCCCAGCAATTGCCTATTAAACTACAGTTACTAAACAACAATTATTTGTAGCAAGCAAATACGTGACGACGAAGCTTGTGCACGGGTGTCTTTCTTCCACTTTAGCCCCCCTCAAAGAAGTATGACTGATTAGGACTAGGAAATTAACCGCCTCCTTTGGTTGCCTCTCCTCAAACATCCTCCTTTTCGCTAAGAAGCCCAGGGAAGAAGGCCAGGCTGCATTACTTTCAGTCAAAGGGGGATACGACTAGGGAGAAAGAATCTACTTCTTGAAAGGCTGAAGCAGCTGGCTTCCTTGGGTGAACAGCAGAGGTGGACACTCCCGCCAGTGTCACTCCCAACCCTACACGATCACTGCTTGGCGCCCCCCCGCCCTCGCACCTAGTCCCTCGCTGCTCCCATTCACCCCGGGGACAGTGGGCAGGTGGGTCGGGAGAAAGGAAAAGTGAGCTCTCCAATTCAAGACAGGAGGAAAGGCCAGGGACTACAAAGAACGTACCTAGTGGTGTGTATAAAAAGGAAGCCCCCCCAATAGGCGACTCCAGGGCGCTCCCGAGGGGCCAGGTCAGCTCCCACGACAGGCATAGACTCTTTAACTCCCCGCTTCCGCGCTGTCTTAGGCCAACCAGGGTACGGGCCCTGTGGGGAACTGGCCAATCGCGTCGTACCGCTGTCCGCGAACCAACCAATCGCATCGAGGCCGCGTAGTAAATTCGAATGGCAACTCCTCGCTTCGCATTCCGCGCAGAGTAACGAGGCTCCAAATTTAAATCAACGCAGCCTCACGCTGGCGACGAGCGCGAGGGGCGGAGCCTACCCGGCGTGAGCGGGGGACGCGTGGTGTGATTGCCCAGGAGAAAGGAAGGCGCTCCAGTTCCGGGTCAGGCCCTTCTCCCGCCTCCCTCGGCCTCTGTCATGGCGAGTAGCAGCGGTGCCGGGGCGGCGGCGGCGGCGAATCTGAACGCGGTGAGGGAGACCATGGACGGTGAGTGCCCGTTTGTTCCCCTTTACCGTGTCTCCGTTTCCCGTAGCCAAGGCCCCCAGGCGACGGTAAGCCAAGGAGGACTTTAGGTCCACTTCCTGCCCCAAAGTGCATCTTTGAGGGTCCTCCCAAGGGACCCTTCAGGGCCATAGTGCTGATGATCCCATCCTTTGAGAGTTGTCTCTTCGCTCTTGCGTAGTTTGTCGCGCGCTCGACGTTCCAGCCCCCACGTCAGTCCGGCGCGTGCCTCGTGCCTCCCGCGCCGGACCCGCGGGGCTCCCGCTCCCCGCGCGCCACGCCCCTCCGCTGCGGCTGGGGTCTGGCGTCCTTTCCTGTGGGGCCGGCTTCACGTGCCGCTGCCACCCCCCGCAACCCCTGCCGCGCCGCGTGCAGAGCGCCCTTTTCTCCTAGTCCTGAGCGGGAACAGTCTTCAAGACTGTAAGCCTCGTGCGGGCAGCGAGCGGCCTTGTGTGTTTGGTCACCGCCCTGTCCTTTGTCTCTGGCCCTGGAGTAGGCGTTTTTCAAATAAGCGGCCAGTGAGCGGGTCGCCCCGTCTTCGGAATTAATCTACTTCATCTTGGAGCGGGTGACGTGGATGTTCTGAGGCCGTAGGTGTATTTACCTGTTTTGTGCCTCGAGGCCCGCGGGCGTCGAGCCTGTGCACACGTGCTAGAAGACGAAGTGTCTTGGAGTTACTCTCTCTCTCTTATGCCGGGTCTGCCACTTTATACTCCTGGGGGTGAGTTTAGACTAAATCTTTGAGCCTGTGTCTTTTTCTATAAAATGAGGTCACTTCCTCCCAAGGTTCTTGTGAATATTTAAGATGAGGTAAAGTCACATCGAAGGTGAAGAATCAAAAGATAATTGTTACCACTTTTGTGTTATGTTGCATGTATATCCCACTTGCAGACTCCTTTGTCTCCATTTTGTTCACATCCACTTATATGTGTTTGATGGATGTTAAATATTGCTTTTTTTTTTTTTTTTTGCATTTTCCAGGGGATATTGACGTTAGTCTCCATCTTTATTGAAACATAACTGCAATTCTCACTCGGTAGTGTCGGCCTCCCCACTGTGTCTCCCTGTCTACTTCACTGTAGGCTCCACTTACTGATTCAGCCATTCCTTAAGGGACTTCTAATGAGACTTTTTCTGCAAGGGTTGCTGCTTTCTTTTTCAAGACCTACTTATATTACTAGAACATTTGCATCTCATTTTTTATTTACCAAGTATCTATTTTGCTGTTTTTCTGAAAAATAGAATTTATTCTTTAAAGATTTTATTTACTTACTTGAGAGATGGGGCGGGGGGGGCGGGGAGGAGAGGTGAGGAACAGAGGGAGAGGGACAAACAGACTCCGGGCTTAGGGGACAGGGCTCCATCCCACCACCCTGAGATATGACCTGAGCCGAAATCAAGAGTTGGACGTTCAACCGACTGAGCCACCCAGGCGCCCCAGATTTTATTCTGAACACCATATTCAGCCTATTTTTCATTCCTTCTTAATGTACTACATTACAGGTTTCCCCTGTATCTGAAAGCAGAGCATTCCCATGAAACCTTTCCTAAAGCTGAAACGGTGTATAGTGAAGAAGCAGTTGATTTATATGGAAAATTTTTTTGAGTGTTCTCAGACCCAAAAAATAACCTTTCTTAGGCTTTTCTGATGCCTTAGGACATCTCTTAACAGATGCATAGAATAAATAGAGATAAAGCACAAATGCTCCCAGACACAGTTCAAAGCTCTCGCAGCTTGATGGTGAGATGTTGAATGTAGTTCTTGGGGAGGGAGCTTGGCAGTGACACTCTAAATGCTGGGTTGTGTGCTGTAATGGTTTGCTGCAAACAAACACTGAACGCTATTTTCATTTTTGCCTTTTTTCATAAAAGCGAAAACTCGGACTTCTTTTGGTAAGCAAAAATAGCTACTAATGTAGGTCTTCTGTAACAGCAGAGTGGAGTAAGACAAACTTTCAAAAAGTGGATGATGGTTATATTGATTTACACCTTTCCTTGGAAGCCAGTGGGGTTTTTTTTTTTTGTTTTTTTTTGTTTGTTTTTTTAACAGAATGGAGTGTGTGAGGCCTCATTTCTGTCAGTTTATGTTAGCTGTGCTTAGGTTCCTTATTGATATGGCCATAGAATCCCACTTGGATGGAAACTCCCATTTTATCTCTGGTGGAACTCATGATTTACAAATAACTGATTGTATTGGTTGCATCAAGATTTTTACTGAGAGAAGTGTGTGTAAAATGAAGATTATTGAGTGTAAGAACATGAAAAAGTGAAGAAATAACAGATTTTTAAAAAAATTGAATGAGAGGCTGTGTGACATAGAGAACACTGCTCCTCTACGCACAAACCTCAAGATAGGAAGGCCCCAGGTTGGCAATGAATCACCATTAGTTAAATGTGGCAGCTAGGGACTATCATGTCTGTTAGAATTCTGAACTTACAGAAAATCCCTGCTATCATGCCATAATTGGAGTCCAAGACAGTCATATATAATGTGAAGTTGAATGTTGTCATTTTATTTTATTTCTTTTTTAAAGATTTTATTTATTAGCACATGTGCAGCCGCACATTAGCGGGATGGTGCACAGAGGAGAGGCAGACTCCCTGCTGAGCGCGGAGCCCTTCTCTCGCTGGATCCCACAACCCTGAGATCATGACCTGAGCCTAAGTCAGACACTTAACCAACTGAGCTATCCAGGTGCCTCAGGTTATCATTTTATAGTCCCACGTTCCTCCACATTCATTCCCAGAAATAAAACTTTAGCTTGCCCAAGGGGCTGGACTGAACTACCCAAATAACATTATTATTATTTGAAACTTTGTTAATGTGGGGTTTCACTGTATTTAAATCTAGCCATGAGAATCAAAAGTTTGAATCTGACTATGCACTTTCAAGTTTATTTCCCCTCATCTTCTTACTGCTTCCCTCCCATCAGTACTAGAATCAGCCCTCAATAATTTAATCTTTTTTTTTTTTTTAAGATTTTATTTCAGAGAGAGGAAGAGAGAGCGAGTGAGCACAAGCATAAATGGGGTGAGTGGCAGAGGGAGAATCAGACACACCGCTGAGCAGGGAGCCCAATGCCAGGCTTGATCCCAGGACCTTGGGATCATGACCCGAGCTGAAGGCAGACGCTTAACTGACTGAGCCACCCAGGTGCCCCAGTAATTTAATTTTTTAATGGATCTGAATGATTTCAGGGTTGTAGAACTAGGCTATAAACATTTTTATTTTTGTTGTGAAGTGAAAGCATTTTGATAATGATACTTCAAAAGCAGGTAGACTTTGTAATTTATCTGTGTGGCTCACGTTGAAAGGAACCTGACTCATCCTGGTCCTGATTTAGTATAAGCTCTTGTATCCCCTACTCTCATTTTTAGATCCTCAATATTCTCTTCCAGATTCCTTCTTTAAAATGTCAGTCTTTTCTATCTTTCTGTCCTCCAGTGTACTCACTTGCCTCTTTTGCTTTTCAAGGTTTTGAAATTTTAGATACTGTATTGATAGTTTCATGCTTTATTTTCGTATATTTTAAAATTTTTCTTATGCCTCCAGTTACTACTAGTAATTATGTTCTTTATAATAGTGATAAAAATGAACCTCTTCCTTACCAGAGGGTTTCAATATAGTGCTACTTTATTATATATCAGGTAGTAAGCTAGAAGGAGGAGTTAAGAGAGTTCACAGTGTACAAGGTAGTGTCCATGAAACAAATGTATGGTCCCTAGGCTATCAGTCTAGTTACTCATGGGAGAAAGAGACTTAGGAATCATTCTTGCTTTCTTTTACCTCCCCTAACTTCTGTTCTTCACTAAGCCCTTTCAGTTCTTCCTTCGTCTCAGATTTAACTACTTGTCTTGATCTCTCCTGTCCGTGCCAAGATGGCAGTAACTTAACTGGACTCCCTGTCCGCGGGTGTTCTGTCTCTTTCCAAGATCCATTCCCTATTATGCAGCCAGAGTCTTTTAAAAATGAAAATTTGATTGTCATACTCCCATTTTTATGTTTTTTAATAGCTTCCCAAAGTTCTGAAATCTTCAAGAGAGCCTTAGTGGGTGTTCATGTCTGTCTTTTCTCATATTTTACACCTCTGCTCCCCCTGTAATTACATTGCCTTCACCTGAAGAACCTTTCAGATCTATGAAATGATCTTTACCAAGTTCTCTTTAGTGCAGGAACTTTTGCACAAGCTGTTTCTTTCGCTCTCTCTTAGCACTTCTTCCTACCTCTGCATTAGTTAGGTTGATTTCTCTTCACCCTTGAAGTGTAAGCTTACTTGTCACTTCTTCACACAAGTCTTTCCTAAACACTATCTTTCACAACTATGTAAGATGCCGTTCTAATTTGTTTTGGAGGTATGCTTTTCTTGTCCCTCTTTCACTTTTAACTAGAATCAGTTATTACTTTAATATCAATGTCTCATAGATGTAATTCCATGAGGATTGGGACCATATCTGTCTTTTTCACGACTATATTTCCAGCAGTAGTGTAGTAGGCACATAATACACCTAAGGACCAATTATATAGTAGGCACTACAGAAGTACTTATTATAGATGGGTTATGAAGTTAGGAGGTAAAGATCAACATACATTTTACAAGAAAGCTTGAAGGAAAGAAATACTAGTCTCTGAAAAAGAGCATGGAGTTACATGGAGAGAAGAGAAAAGGCAGAGGAGAAAAGCATGAACTAAGGCATGAAGTCAGGAATAAGCAGAGAATTAATAGATAGGGGTCTACCATGAAGAGAAAACTGGAGAGGAGAATTTTTAGCAACAGGTGATGGTGATGATGGTATTGTTGGAGAGTTGGAGTAGGGTCAGAGAGTACGTGTTTTCATTTGCTGCTGCATAACAAACCATCCCAAACTTACTGGCATAAAACAGCAGTTACTTGTCTCTCACAGTTCTGGGTGCTGGCCGGGCTTATCTGGGTAATTCTCATTGAGGGTCTCTAATGCATTGCAGTTAGTGCTGAATCTGGAGTCAT